ATAGGCTTATTCTAAAGTTTACGTGAGAAAATGAACAGAATAGGAGGTTGAGTAAAATACCTAAACTTAGACGAATTTATTATGTGATAAATGACACAAAACCGAACAGGTATAGGCCGGGCGCAGTGGCTCACGCCTGTAATCCTAGCACTCTGGGAGGCCGAGGCAGGAGGATCACTTGACGTCAGGAGTTCAAGACCAGCCTGAACAAGAGCGAGACCCTGTCTCTGCTAAAAATAGAAAGAAATTATCTGGACACTAAAAATATATAGAAAAAATTAGCTGGGCATGGCGGTGCATGCCTGTAGTCCCAGCTACTCAGGAGGCTGAGGCAGTAGGATTGCTTGAGCCCAGGAGTTTAAGATTGCTGTGAGCTAGGCTGACGCCATGGCAATTGAACATGGGCAACAGAGTGAGACTCTGTCTCAAAAAAAAAGAAAAAAAAAAACCAGCTATAAAAGAAAATACTGAAAACTCAAATTATATAAAAGAATTAAAATCACCATAAACAGAGAATAACCTGAGAAGATTTGTAATTCATATCTCAAAGGGCTAATTTCACTAATATCTAAAGGGCCCTACAATTTAATGAGGCAAAGACCAAGAAAAAAAAGAGAAAAAAAATTTGTAATGCCATAGACAGTTTACAGAGAAGGAAATAGAAATAGCTCTTATAAAAAATTGCTCATCTTCACTAATAGCAAGAGAAATGTAAATTAAAATTACTCTGAGATGCTATATTTGCATTATTTTGCATTTATATTTGGAATAAATAGAGATACTAATTAGGAGAAAAGGCAAAGTGCACAACAGTGTGCATGGTATGCTGCAATTTTATATTAAAAGGAAGGAAGGAGTATGGGATGCTGTAATTTGTACTAAAAGGGAGAAAGGAATAAAAAGAATACACATCTACATAACACATCCACACACTATACTCATTGGCTTATATTTGTATAAATATTCATAGGAGAAATAAACAAGAAACTGATAATAATGGTTGCTTCTGAGTAGGAAGACTCAGTGGCAGGACAGGTTAGAATCTTCCCACTTTTTATCCTTTTGTAAATTTTGAATTTTAAATTACGTAAATAGGCCTGGTGCAGTGGCTCACGCCTGTAATCCTAGCACTGGGAGGCTGAGACAGGAGGATCACTTGAGGTCAGGAATTCGAGACCAGCCTGAGCAAGAGCGAGATCCCATCTCTACTAAAAATAGAAAAAAGTAGCTGGTCAACTAAAAATAGAGGCAAAAAATTAGCTGGGTTGGTGGCTCTTGTCTTAGTTCCAGCTACTTGGGAGGCGGAGGCAGGAGGATCACTTGAGGCCAGGAGTTTGAGGTTGCTGTGAGCTAGGCTGATGCCATGGTACTCTAGCCCAGGCAAGAGAGTGAGACTCTGTCTCAAAAAAAAAAAAATTTAATATGAAAGAGTATCAGTCCTAATAAGAAGAAAAGAAAGAAAAAATTTTAATAGACATTAATAAAAATTACGTAAATTCAAAAATAAATAAATGCAATTTAAAATATGTTACGTAGGGGACTAGTTATTAATGTTACCAACCATATCTGATAATAAATAATAAAATACTAGTAATAAATAATAGTAAAATAAAAAATAATGAAGTAGTAGTGTCTCCCTAATGTTCTGAAGTTTGTAAGGGAACGCTTTTCCCTTAATTTGAAGAGGTTTCTTTCTTTAAAGGCCCACAATCTTCCATATGAGTATCAATATATGACATTTCAGGAAAAAGAAAGGTATAATTTAGGTTCATTTTGAGCTTTACTAGTATCAAAGGTACAAAAAACCCTGGATATGTCATTTTACAGTACCAAAAATTTTAATATTGGCTGGGTGCAGAGGCTCACACCTATAATCCTAGTACTCTGGGATGCAAAGGTGGGAGGATTACTTGAGCTTAGGAGTTCAAAACCAGCCTGAACAAGAGCGAGAGCTCTACTATAAATAGAAAGAAATTAGCCAAACAACTAAAAATAGAAAAAATTAGCTGAGCACAGTGATGCATGCCTATAGTCCCAGCTACCTGGGAGGCTGAAGGAGGAGGATCACTTGAGCCCAGGAGTTTGAGGTTGCTGTGAGCTAGGCTGATGCCATGGCACTCTAGCCCAGGCAAGCGAGTGAGACTCTGTCTCAAAAAAAAAAAAAAATTTAATATGAAAGAGTATTAGTCCTAATAAGAAGAAAAGAAAGAAAAAATTTTAATAAACTCTATTGTTTTACATACAGGTGTTAGAAATCTGTTCTAATGGAGAACATTAATACCATGGTGATATTAAACTAGAAATTAATGAGAATTGATTTATACATATAAGTAAAATATATTGAATGAATTTATTGAAATGTATCAATGAATGGGTGCTGATTTATTAGATTTATATAGTAATGGGAAATAAACTAGATCAATATACTATATTTCATCAAATATTAGATTCCAACAATTATAAGACAAATAATTATTTTATCTGTTCACAAGAAAGAGAAAGATGCTGTCAGTTCAACAGTGATGCACCATAATGTCAAGGTTATTAAAATATGAAAAAGTATACTTCTTAAAATTAATGAGGTTAGGTAAAGGTTTCAGATTTTTTAAATCATTTTTTGAAAGGTAAAACTTTCAAAAATTAGTATTTAGGCATATTAAAGGAATATTTAAGTTTTCTTATTAATATGGATCTCATCCACATTTGTAATATACTTTTAGTTATATACATGATTTCAAAGAAAAATTTTATATAATTTATAATTCAAGCTTCAGTACTATATTCTGGACTGGTTGTAGTGCTTCATGCCTATAATCCCAGCACTTAGGGAGCCCGAGGTGGGAGGATTTCTTGAGGCCAGGAGTTCGAGACTAGCCTGGAAACATAGTGAGATCCTATCTCTACAAAATATTTTTTTAAAATTAGCTGAGTGTGGTGGTGTGTACCTGTAGTCCCAGCTACTTGGGAGGCAGAGATGGGAGGATTGCCTGTGCCCAGGATTTTGAGGTTACAGTGAGCTCTGATCATGCCACAGCACTCTAGCCTGGGAGAAAGGAGACCCTTGACAGAAGGAGACCCCATCTCTAAAAAAAAAAAAATTATATTTCTGAATAGAAAGACTCATTTGGCTGGCTTTATCCAGTCCAATTTCAAAAAATCATCCATTCATTCAAAACCAACCAGATTGTTAGCTTAGCTGTGGTGTAAATACCAAATGCTTGCTGATTACTTGAATTGGAAGTGAGGTTACCAGACTGTAAGAACTTTGTCAGGGCCAGGCGTAGTGGCTCACGGCTGTAATCTTAGCACTCTGGGAGGCTGAGGTGGACGGATTGTTTGAGCTTAGGAGTTCAAGACCAGCCTTAGCAAGAGTGAGACTCCGTCTCTACCAAAAATAGAAAAAATAAGCCAGGCATGGTGGCACATGCCTGTAGTCCCTGCTACTCGGGAGGCTGAGGCAAGAAGATTGCTTGAGCCCAGGAGTTTGAGGTTTCTGTGAACTAGGCTGACACCATGGTACTCTAGCCAGGGCGACAGAAGGAGACTGTCTCAAAACAAAACAAAACAAAAAAACAAAAAGCAAAACAAAAACAAAAAGAAAGCAGCCTAATTAAGAATGAAGTGCCTTGGTTCCAATTCCAAATTTTCCCAGAGCAGTATTTTGGCCCAGCTTAGATAAGGTGCTTCAGGTGCCTACCTGTGGATTAGTCAGCTGTGGTGAGGGCACAGGTCATATAAGAACTTATCAGTTCCTCCTGTAAAGTATGTAGATAAGAAAAGAAATGAGGGACAGTTAATAACTGAGAAGTAAGGAATTGTGAGCTATTGAGACAGCCTGATGGCTTCTTGCTTCATGAGGCCTTTCATATTTCCATATAAGGATTGTAAAATACCTCGACTTTGATATGTTCAAGACCCATATGATAGGAGTATGTTATAAGGATGTCTTTTTATTAATCAGGTAACTAAACCTACTTAATTGGGTCCAAAACAGATAGTTGTCACCTGAATTTTATACTATAGTAGTTTTAGAGTAAATTTCCATGATACTGGATGATTAAAATAATTTTATCTCATCCAGATTGTTGTAGGGTGTTATTAATATTTAGTTTAACTTTATTTTTTTGAGTCTAGTTTAACTTTTAACAATGATTATATAAAGCTTATCAAAGTTAAAATTTATCATCTTTACCTAGAATAAAATATATAACCATTATTATTATTGTGTCATTTCTCAATTATGGAAACCATTTAAGATAGATAACGTTTGTGTAGAGAAATTATGAATTTAGGTTCTGTTTAACTGACTTGATGTATTATAACTTTTTCAGTGTCTTCACATATTAGAACTGTCTTCTTCCAAATATGCCATGTGTTAGGATGCTCATTGTTATTAGATTATAAATTATTAGAATTATTTTTACTTTATTTTATTTATTTACTTTTTTGAGGCAGAGTCTCACTCTGTTGCCCGGGCTAGAGTGCTGTGGCTTCAGTGTAGCTCACATTAACCTCAAACTCCTGGGATCAAGCAATCCTCCTGCCTCAGTCTCCTGAGTAGCTGGGACTACAGGCATGTGCCACCATGCCTGGCTAATTTTTTCTATATATTTAGTTTGCCAATTAATTTCTTTCTATTTTTAGTAGAGACTGGGTCTCGCTCTTGCTCAGGCTAGTTTCAAACTCCTGACCTTGAGCAATCTGCCCGCCTTGGCCTCCCAGAGTGCTAGGATTACAGGTGTGAGCCACCGCTCCTGGCCAGAATTATTTTTTATTATTAATTTAGTCCATGCAAACACTGATAACTTTTAGCAACTTTGGAGTTCTGAAAACTTAATTTCTCTTTGCATGTTCTGTTCTAGTTCTAATTCTAATACTAAATTTATTGTCTTTTTACTTAGTTTAATGACATGTTTAATAAGTTACTGGGTAACGATGAGGAAACCTAGCCCTGTCTATTCATTTGGGTAAGTTCAAATTATTTTATTATCTGTTAACTTATGGCTATTATAATAATAGTTACAGTAGGCAGTGAAAAGATAGTTGGATTATTTCTGGAAAATAAATGCTACTTGCTTAGTCAAATGATCAAATAGTGAAAGTAGACAGAAAACCATCTTCCAGCCTCAGAGGGGCCCGAGCCGCCCGGTGCGCCGCCTCCCGCCGCGCGCCGCCGCCGAGCGAGCCAAGCCGGCCGGGGCGGCGGGCGCGGGCCGCCATGGACCCCAGCCCTGCTGCAGGAGCGGCCGCCCGCCTATAGCTGGAGGCCGGCCAGGCGGACTACGCGTGCGGCCCGCACGGCTACGGCGCCATCCCCACCGCGCCCCCGCCGCCGCCCTACCCCTACCTCGTCACAGGTTTACCCACCCACAACCCCAGGGTCTACAACATCCACAGTCGAGCTGTCACCCGTTACCCTGCCAACTCCATCGTCGTGGTTGGAGGCTGTCCGGTTTGCAGGGTCGGGGTGCTGGAGGACGGCTTCACCTTCCTGGGCATCTTCTTGGCCATCATCTTGTTTCCCTTCGGCTTCATCTGCTGTTTTGCCTTGAGGAAGCGAAGATGCCCCAACTGTGGAGCAACCTTTAGTTAAAGGGAACAACACACCGGCTTCCTACACCCAGATGTCTTTTTCTAATGTAAATGTTGTGTACAATAGTTTTATTTGATTAAGCTTCAGGACTGTTTTGTAAAGCAAGGCGGGATAGAGGTAGCACGTGCCAGTGTGGAAGGCAGCGCTGCTGCTCCGAGGTTCATGACAGCTCGGTGAAGCACTGCTTTTATTTTTTGCAGTCTTCAATTTGAGAAAGGTGAGAAATAATGTTTTCAATAAATGAGATTCATACCACTAAAAAAAAAAAAAAAAACCATCTTCCAAGAGGATTCTAGAAAAGAAATATGAATATTTAAAATAGAAATCATATTAAAATAAAATGTTCACATGAGGTTCTTTTATACTTTATAAAACAAATATTAACGCAAAATGTTCACATTAAGTGCTTTAATATTTTGAGAATCTCAGTTAGAGAAAGTATGAGGAATTTTCATGTTAGTGTATCTTCTAGATGTTAAAGTAATGTGGTATAGTTTAATCTTATGCAGTGGTAGAGATTGATTTTAATCTAAGACTTCAGATTTGTGATAGCAATGGACTCACAAAGAATTTGAAATTTTTGTTTGTATAATTTTAGAAATTACTGAAAGTGGAAAGTTAGAAGGTAAGTTTTAGAAAAAATGAGTTCCTTTCAGATTCAAGGAAACAACTTGAATGAAGAATTTTCTTCAGTAAATAAACTTTTTGACCAAACTTATGCTTCTTCTTTACCATACTATTCATTGAGATTATATTTTTTTGAACAAAATCAGGTTTTATTTATTTAAACAATGGAACAAAGTAAACATGAAATTTTAATACAAAATAAGGGTATTCATAAGTTCACTGAAATTTGTTAGAGTTAGATTATCACTATCATAAGTAGTTGTAAAGTGTAGATATCCATGTATGGAAATCTGTCACTTGAGTGAAGGCTTTTGTTTGCAAATGACAGAAATCTATCTTGACTAGTTTTGGGGGGAAATGGGGACTTTTGACAATTTATGCAACCAAACTATATAAGATAGTAATTGACATAAACAGTAGGCCACCGTGAACATTGTCTTTTTCTTACCTCTCAAGCCTGCTTTTCTCTGCATGTCAGGCTCAGTCTCTCAGACCACTTTTCTCCACCAACCTGGATGGATAACTCCTAGCAAGACCTTAACTCACACCTTCTCACCTTCATCCTAGACAGGAAAGGACACTTTCCTGCGTCTGTTTCATAAAATCATGAGAAAGAACTGTTGATTGGTCCAGCTTAGAAAAGGTGTCAGTCTTTAGAATGGTAACTATGGACAGGAGACAAGGTCATGTAAGGACATAATGTCCCATTTTGTCCCACTTGCTTAGAGTGAACAGGAAAGGAGGGAGCAATGAAATAATAAAGTTAAACACTCAAATATAATTTCAGTCAATCATATAGCTTGATGTACCAGATAATATGATAATATAGGTCATTAAGATTCTTTTATAAGAATCATTATCATAATAATAACCAACACTTAATCAGTTCAACTTGCATTAGACACCAGTTATAAAAAAATATGAAAAACCAGTATGTAAATGCATCAGTATTATTTGTGGAAATTGATAAGCTAATGTTAAAAATCCATATGGAATGTAAAATGTGAAGGAAAGTAAAGACAATCTTGAAGCAGAACTAAGCTGGAAGATTTATACTGCCAGATATTAATATTTATTTCAAGGTTATAATAATAAACATAGGGTAGTACTAATGCAAGAATAGACAAATACACCAAGTTGAACAGAAAAGAGAATCCAAAAACAGACCTATATAGGTCTGTACACATATATAGTCACCTGATTTATTAAAAAGGTGGGACATAAAAGCAGTAGAGAAAGGGTGATTTTCAGGACCAGAAGTGGGTCCTGGGAATTGTGCAAATAGGTACTCTTTTTTTAATCTGTGTTTTTCATTACTATCCTTTTAGAAACTCTGTAGTCTATTCTGACAATGTTTGGCTCATAGTAGACTACAAATATATATGTTGAGTGAGTGAATACATGAATATAAATGTATTCAAAAGAGAATACTGGTTCATGAATTGAAAGAATCATGATGATCTAATTAATTTTCTGATTGCAGGTTTGAAAGATTAGAAGTCCTGGCTGTATTTGCCTCCACAGTCTTGGCACAGTTGGGAGCTCTCTTTATATTAAAAGAAAGGTATGTTTGTATTTGATATTCTAAATCCCACCTATGACACCTTTGGGGACATGAAAGAAACCAATGAGATGCATCTGGTTTGAAGGGTATGCAAATAAAGATGAACAGTGCTGGAGTTTTGATAGTAATCTCTTCCTATTTCAGACTTCTTTCCCTTCTTTTTCACTTTATATTTCCTTCTTTGATGCTACTAAATTCAATCATAGGTGGGTGCGAATGAAAGGAAGAGATTTAGTCAGACAAGTTTTGATGCTTATTATAAACCTATTGAAGTAGGTTTGGGCTGGGTGCGGTGGCTCACGCCTATAATCCTAGCACTCTGGGAGGCCAAGGCGGTCGGATTGCTCAAGGTCAGGAGTTCGAAACCAGCCTGAGCAAGACCCGTCTCTACTATAAATAGAAAGAAATTAATTGGCCAACTAATATATATAGAAAAAATTAGCTGGGCATGGTGGCGCATGCCTGTAGTCCCAGCTAGTTGGGAGGCTGAGTCAGTAGGATTGCTTGAGCCCAGGAGTTTGAGGTTTCTGTGAGCTAGGCTGATGTCATGGCACTCACCCTAGCCTGGGCAACAACGCAGTGAGACTGTCTCCAAAAAAAAAAAAAAAAAGAAGTAGGTTTGGTAAAAAAGGTTGACATTGTATATTGAGGACAATTTGTGAATCTCCTGGTCTCATCACTGTTAACAGCAACTAGTTGGCTATAGTATTAAAAGATTTTTATGAACTTTAATGTAGATTAATTATATATTTAATAAAGCATTTTAATTTTATAATTTATAGGACTTATTTAGTATTTTTTTTCTTTTAGTGCAGAACGCTTTTTGGAGCAGCCTGAAATACACACGTGAGATTTTATTTTTGATATAACATAGATTACTCTTAAGTTTGATTCCTTCTCAATTATTAATTGATGTATTATTAAATAATGGTTACTTTGGCCAGTATCGGAGTTCAGAGTGTGGCAATATAAATTTTCACTGGTATTTCAAAAATAAAATCCCCAAATACCCAGATGACTTCTTACTTTTAATGGTTCCCAGGTCTTAGAGGTTTTTATACTCCCCAGGAAGGCCTTTTTATCTTGGCTTTAGATTCCTCATTATTTCCAGACTCAAATCAACACAAAAAACCAGATCCCTCTAGTCTTCTAAAATTTCAAATTTTACCTTCAAAATCTTTTCATAGCACCTATAGAAAAGAGAATTGTGTTTATCAACCACATGGTTGCCAACTATACAGACCTTATCTATTTTAATAATTTAACTCAGGAAAGTCTGACTTGTCCAGTGTATTGTAAACCAAATACCATTCGCATTTATACAAATTTATGACAGCAATTACTTATAAGACCATTTTGTTAATGCTAAGAATCCTTTCTTGTCCTGTGGAGGGTGGCGCAGCAGAAAATAGAACATATGTTATGGGCCTGAAACCATGTTCAAATTCTGGCTCTGTAAATAACCAAACCATTGAAGCAGACCACTCTACCTTCCCATCTCTAAGTCTCTCTACATACTGAAATTACCTATTGATATTACCGAGAAAAAAATAAAGGTGAATGTTATTGTTGTTCTTTTAGGGGAAGATTATTAGTTGGTACTTTCGTGGCTCTTTCTTTCAACTTGTTCACGATGCTTTCTATTCGGAATAAACCTTTTGCTTATGTCTCTGAAGGTATGTTTTTGACTTGCTATTAATAAAAAAATCCAATTAATCTGTCATACAAACACGTTTTTTTGTTTCATTAACTTATAAATCACCAAGAAAATATGTTCTGCATATAAGAGAGAACTAGCCCAAAGCTTCTCAAGTCTTCTTTAAGTGAGAATTATAAAACAAAATCTCATTAGATCAAGATTTAAAAGAACATATTACTTAAAAACAGGCAGAGTAACTTATGTATTAAATTATATATGATGAAAAATTAATTACATTTACCAAATAATGAGATTTTAGGTGTATAATCTATCTAAGAAAAGCCTATTATAAACATTTTAGAAGTAAGAGTATATTTAGAATAGTTGATGTGCTAATTGAAAATAATTGTATTCTGTTAATTAAATAAGTTCCAAGAAACTTCTCTTTGGCAATGGTGGATGGTCATATATTTGCAAGTATCAAAATTTTGTTTCTTTTGAAATATTCTTGTATTTTGACGTCTTTAAAATTTTAGACTGGATTTTTACTTTAGTGGTCTAAATTATTGGCACCTTTCAATAATTAAGGTGTTTTGGAATTCCACTAACCCACAAAGAGTTAACAATTAGTTGATGAAGAGAAATGAGGCACACAGCACCACAACCAGCTTAATTTTTTTTAGGTCTTGCTCTTGCTCAGGCTGGTCTCCAACTCCTGAGCTCAAGCAGTTCTCCCACCTCAGCCTCCCAGAGTATAGGATTACAGGCATGAGCTACCTTGCCTGGCCAACATTATTCTTTTACATTTTTCCAACTATCCTTTTTATAAATAGTGCTGTAATCAGCCTCTTTATATCAGGTTTATTGTCTGCATTTTTTTTTTAAAGACTGGTCAAGTGAAGCAGTGGGAGTGGAGAAGAAACAAAAAATCTGTAACTGGTTGTTATCAATTAGTTGTAAACACCCCTGCACTTGGACCAACCTTGTCTGCATTTCTGATTCTTTCTTTAGGATAAATTCCCAAAGAAGGATTATGAAGTGGATTAAAAATACAGTGTTTTTGCTGGGCACGGTGGCCGCACATCTGTAGTCCCAGGTACTTAGGAGGCTGAGGTAGGAGGATCACTTGAGCCTAAGAGTTTAAGACAAGTCTGGGAAACACAGTGAGAATCCCATCTTTTAAAAAAAAAAAGTATACATACACATATAAAAATGCAATGCTTTTCTTTTTACATATGTATGACATGGATATGGAAATACAGTATTTTTTAAAGGCTTTGATATATATTTTGAAATTTATTTCCAGAAAAGTTGTCTAATTTGTGTTTTTATTAGCTGAAAATGAAGCTTCTCAGAAACATCAAAATGGGTGACATTACTTGAAATTTGAGTGGAAAATAATATTGAGCACTATCTGTGTGCCAGGCACTTTTGAATGCTTTAT